TCTCATCTCGTCTCGTCAGCAGGAGCTTACAGTTATTCAGATGAGAGAAGGTGATCTGATTGTGGAAAACATGATTTCCGTCTGGAGATGGTTGATAGATGAAGAAAGCAGGACTGTGTTTGACGTGTGCATCAAAACTTCAAGTAATTAAAGTTTAGAATCGAATCCATGCAACGGGTGGAGCTACTTTCCACTGTACTAACGAGGAGGTCTTCATTAATTAATGGTGATTCCTCACAAGCTGCTCAAAACAGTCTTCGACAGACTTTCGATAACTCGGCCAAAAAAATCTATTCAGTGGTCCAAGAAGAGAACAGAAGCAGCTTCTGTGAAGATCTCAGATGGTTGTAAAGACGTGGGCTCCTCCTGTAGCGCTCTCTGCTTCCACAGTCCTGTCAGGATCAGTTAGCTTCAGCGAGTGCTGACTGACGCTGCGGCCGCTAACGAGACATCTCTGTTTCAGCTGTGGGTGGTAAAACAAGGCGACACCTGCGAGGAGGCTCTGCAGCGCCACCTGGTGGAAGACAAGAGTCCCAACGGAGGAGCGTCCTACGCAGACTTCCTCTACCATCTCCACGTCAACTCTGTCCGGTTGCTGCAGTGACACACACACACATTGTCTGCTCAGCTCAGACGGATCAGAACGCGTGACTCCAGTTCTCACTGCATATTGTTGTCATTTATGAATAGAGAAGAAGATACGATGCACAGGACGGGACGGTAGATGCATCCTTTGATTTATTTAATGACTGCTGTGACGAGAGCTTGTTTCTGAAAATATGTTTCTGATGTTCCTGACATGGCAGATGTCTACCTGGGATGTGTGTGTGTGTGTGTGTGTGTGTGTGTGTGTGTGTCAGTGTGTGGATCATCTCCAGTAAATAAATAAAGGCTTTAATTTAACCGTCATTGAAGTTTTACATGTTTGTTTTTTCCAGTGTGGAGCTAATTAGCGGCGAAGCGGTAAAGTTTCAGACACATGCAGGTGAACATGTGACTCTGGAGGCTGAACTGTCTGCTCAGTTCAAGTGGCTTATAAAAAGTAAGTGGCTGAAGCAGGGACGGGACTGGACGGGTGCTAGCATGCTGATTCTTGCTTTGTGACACTAAACACAGTGCGGCGTAGGGAGGACATGAATTGCCTCATACTGCAGGGGTTTAGTCTTTCACCAAAGTGTTGGACAAACCAAAATTGCCCACATGATGGCACTAGAGGAATAGTTCAGAGAACACCACAGCCATGTCGCACTCAGACGTCCGGACCGTGGGAGGCCTGTTCTGAGTGGAGCCTGTCCTGTTAAACGCTGTACGGCCTCCGTGCTGCTGCTCCGTGTCAGGCTGGTAACGGTCTTCCTGTAGTCTCTTCATGTAGAGCTACAAGTCTGTTTTTCAGATCCGCCCTCACCCTGACCCTCAGAGACTTCTTTGCCATGAGGCTCCATGTTGAACTTCCAGTGACCAGTAGGAGAGTGTGAGAGCGATGACACCACATCTAACACACCTGCTCCCCAGTCACACCTGAGACCTGGTAACACTGACCAGTCACATGACACCGGGGAGGAAAATGGCTGACTGGGCCCCATCAGGACATTCTCCCTGTGGGGTGTGCTCACTTGTGCTGCCAGCAGTTTGGACATTAGTGGCTGTACGGAGTTACTCTGAGGGGACGGTAGCTCTACTCTGTTACACCAGCTGCACACCGGCTGCTTCACATGGTAGCAAAGAACCATTTAGTCAGTGTTGTCCCATGAAAAGATAGAATGAAATATTTGTGGACTCACTTTTGTGACATGCTGTATGTGTCAGCACATCTGAAGGCAACCCCATCAGTTGTTGCTGAGAGACCTCACTCAGAATGATGTTAGTGAACTTTATGGCAAAGACCAAGACCAGCACTTTAACCGGCAGACATTGTGGGTAAGTAATCCATTCACTTGTTGAAATATTACAGAACCGCTCCTGTTAAAGTGGCTCCAAAGCATTTCACCTGTCATGTGGATTAATATGAAACGAATGCCTGGCAGAGGGTTTTGAAGTGATGGTAGCGTTTCTTGCTGGCAGGTGGATCCAGCAACTACAAAGCACACCCAAAGGCCAAACAACTAGAAAGAGAAACCAGAAGGAGATACAAGATGAGCACACATGGAGGTAAAACCAGATCCAGTTTGTTGTCATGGTGCTGAACATCCACAGCAGGACAGGCAGGAGGAGAGCCTTTCTCCAGGATCCAGGAACTAAAAGCGATTAAATGAACCAGTGTTTGCATCTCTGGATCAGCAGTTCAGCGTTCTGACAGCTGGTGGCATGAAGCTGCTGATCAGTCTGGAGGTTCTTCCTCTAACGCTCCAGAAACGTTTTCCTGATGGCAGCAGTTCAGACGGTTGATGGAGAGGCTGTGAGGAGTCC